AAGGACACAAGGGAGAGCTCGTAAACTGGGCCTTGCCTCAGTTTCTTCCCAGTCCAGGTCTTGCCTTAGAATGGGAGGCAGCATCCTTACCAGCTTGTGTTGCCTGCATGGCCCCGTCAATGAAGTATTTTTGATTTCCTAATTTTCATTTATTTGATTACTCATGAGAATATGTTCCAAAAAGATTATGGCTATTTCAATTTCTTCATCAAATTACAATACAACTGGGATAAATGGGGAATTAGAGCTGAGAAGCAGATTGAGGGGCTGATTGGACCCAAAATTACTAAAAGAAGACCTCAAGAGTAGGGGGATTCTCGCCAAACTGACCTAACAGGTTCTAAAGGCAAGCCAAGGTCTGAGACATAAGGTGAGGGTTGGGGACCTTGATCAGATATCAAGGGAGAGGAGGGACAACCTAGCAAGATTCTTGGCCTAGACTGACTTTAGGTAGGCAATGGACAGGGCCTAAGAATGAGGCCTGGTAGAAAAGAGGGCTCAGGGAAACCTATTTAAAGTTTGGTGATTTGTTAAATGGAACACATTATAGGATATTTTCCAGATAGCTGGTATATAAATTTCATTTTCAAAGATGACTGTTCTGCGTGGATAGAATTAAGAGCAGCCGGGTGTAAGTAAATAGGTGTAAGATACGTTGGTTTGGTTGTGTGATGGTAGTGGCAGTGATGGTGGGGACTTGGTATTTGTAGAGAACGTTGGGTGGTAAGGGTGTCACTCTGAAGTCCCCGTTCAGGTGCCATATATTTGCTTTGCTTTACTTGACTCCCCAGTAACATCCTGAGTAGCTGCACTTGAAGCAGCAGCAGAAAACAGCACCGACCAAGGAGGGCCAACCGAGCTGTTGGTAATGTCGCCTGACACCTCTCCATAGTATGTGAGTTGACAAAACAACCACAGACCAGAGCTCTCCATCCTGGTCTCCATCCAGTTCTTTTCCCATGCACATTGGAGCTGATTTATGTGAAAACTGACCTTGTACTTTAAAGACCTGGAGACAGCGGAGTTGGCCTTTAGTGGAGGTCACTGCTACCCTTAACAGTTGCATTTCTCTAACTATATGGGAATTGCAGAAACGAGGTAAGAGGGCCTCCTCCAGCCGCTTCTACCCACTAAGGCTGGAAAAGTGACAAACGCCTCCCCCATTTCCACCCTGGATACCCAGACCTCTTGCTCTGCAGACCATCTCATATACATGAGCCCAGTCCTGGGACATGATTTTGTCTGGTTTCTTGTTTACTTTTCCTTGAAAGCATGCTACAGGTAGAGAGATGAGAGTCAAGAAAATAGGGTAATTAATATCTCCTGCTTAAAAAGCCTGTTTTCAAGTATTCATCAGTTCCCTGGAGTGATGGTCATTTTATTCCTAAAATCTGATCTGTTCAGATATTGGACTTACACAAATTAAGTAAATTGTCTCAAAAACCATGTATTGAATTTTATTAGCTTTTCCTGAATTAATGGTTCTAGTTAATTTAACTTTGTTGGTTGTTTTTACTTTGAAAATTAGTTCTTAATTAATATGGGTTTTGTAAGAGTTCATGTGTGTGTGTGTGTGTGTGTGTGTGTGTGTGTGTGTGTGTGTTTCCTATAGGAAGCATGCACTTGCTGGGGAGAGAGAGAAAGTAAAAAATCAGCTCACTGGGGAATGGCCTCACCACAATTCTCTCTCCTCCATTCTTCTCTGAGGATACTGGACACACAGACATGCCCTGTATGTTCTTTTTTGTTTTGTTTTGTTTCATTTTTGTTTTTTGAGAGATTTTTGTTATAGGGCGCGTGCGCTTGCCACATAGAGAGAGAGACAGAGAGACAGAAAGCGAGAAATCACCCCCCAGGGGGGTGGCCACACCACAATCCCTTCTCCTCCATTCTCTTCTCGGGATCTTGGACATGCACACACACGCGCCCGGCGTGAATTTTAAGCCACCGGGTCCAGGACGTGAACCACAGTCAACTACATGGGAGTCCAGCGACATAGCCATTACGCTAACTGCTGGTCCCCTCTGTATGTTCTTCAAACCACTGTGTCTAGGATGTGAACAGCACAGTCAGCCATGTGGGATTCAGCTACCTTAACTACCATGCCACTGGCAGGCCCTTTGTGTTTTGTTGTTTACAGTTTGTCAGAGAGTCTTCATAAGAAAACACATTCAGCCCATGAAGAAAAATATGCCCCTTCTCCCCCCTAAAGGACAAATACACTTTTTATTTTAAAGAAGAAATAGAAGTAGCCATAATCATTTGAACATGTTCAGCCTGATTAGTAATCAAATAAATGAAAATGTAAGAAAGAAAAGTATTTCATGAGCTCTTCAGTTTTAGTGTCAGAAATGATAATAATATGTACTTTGTTTCTTAAGGTTGGAAATGCACACCAACGCTACAACTGCTGACAAGACAGATTTCAACCCCTTGAAATGATACAGTGAACTACACTTGAACAGGCCTCCCCGCATTTCTGTTCACAATCAACTCCATGATTCTGTGGCCCATCAATGAAGAGAATGAGGACCCTACACTGCCCCTCTCACCAGGAAGTAGCCTGAACAGACTTCATCACCCAGTGTCAAAGATTTGACTTTGTTAATCTGTCAGGGAAAACATAGAGTTTAACAAATCTAACAGTGGGACAGCCATTTTAGGCTGAGGCCATTTCAGAATAAAATGGGCCAGTGCCTTTGCCTGGTGGAAATTTACCAGATGACAACCCCCAACCACATTCCCAGAAGTTTGGGCAACCACTGACACCCAGCTGGAATGTGAGGGGATCAACCAGGCCATGAAACCAGCCCAGTTGCTCTTCTTCTGCACAAACTCTTACTTGCTCCTCCTTGAAGCAAACTCAACCAATTCTATTCCTTAATTCTGCTCTCCACTCAGTAAGTTCTTTTTATAGTCACATACCAGCCTCTAATGCAACAACATAGCAAGTAATAAGGTAACTCTAGATGTATTTTGATTCTTCTAGTGTTCTGTTCACTTATTTTAGAAACATGGTATAAAATGGTTTTCATTTATATTTTGCTTTCTAAATAGAATTCATTGGATGGTACCTATACACAAGTTAGACAGTATAAATATGTTTCATTATAAGACCATGTTGATATTACTAACTATACTTAACAGAATGTGTAATGCTTACAGAATGCTTAATGTTGTTGACAATAAGGTGTCAGATAAATAAGAAAAAAGTAAATTATTGTATTTATGTAATTTACCATAAATTGAAAATGGTAACTCTTTTTCTCTTAGCTGTTTTTAATGGTGATAGAAAAAGTATAATAGAAAATGGAAAGTGTCAAACAACCTGTCACATGATGGTTAAGGTAGCTAGGTCTCACTTGGCTAGCTGTATTGTTTGAATTCTGGACCCAGCAGCTTGAAATACATCAGGCTTCTGTGTGTAAGTACCCAAAATCCAGAGAGGAGACTGGAGGAAAAAGGATTGTATCATGGCCATTTCCCTTGAAGGTTGCTTTCTCTCTCTCTCTCCCTCCCTCTCCCTCTCTCACCCCAGTGAGTACACAAGCCCTATAGCAAAACTATAATAGTAATCATAATAATAGTACTTTAACTTATATTATTAACTTTTTCTTTATTCATTTTCATTATGAGACAGAAAGATACAGGGAGAGGTTTTTGACAGGTTCTTGCTGTGTTGTGACCCTCGTGCCCCAGCTTCCCAGTTAGCTTGGATTACAAGTACATAAGACAATATCCAAAGTATTCCAGTTAACCTGGGAGCTGAACCTATGCCTACCATGCTGTTTCCAGTTTCCAGCCTACCAAGGGGTGATACTGTGTGTGCCATCACAGCCATGCTCCTTTTTCATTTATTGTCTTTTATTTAGATTTTTAAAAATCTTTCTTTAGTGGATATACAAAAAAATTGTTACAGATGACTGCTCTAATTTCATTAAATATAAAGGAACATTTCACATGCTCCCTGTGAGAAATGATGCAAAATCAAAAATTTCAGATTGAGCCCAGCGATAGTATTATGGGCAGGTAGGGTGCTGCTGTGCCATGCTAGAAGCCATATGTGAAGACTCTAGGTTCACTTCTACACGCTTGGTGTACCCATAATCCTGGCTGGCTACAGGGCTGGGGGAGGATCGTAGCCTGAAGACCCTATCTTCAGGGTACTTTTCTCTGTCTGTCCCCTCTCTCTCAGGAAATAAATGACTAAACTTTAAAAAATAAGATTATATTTAAGAATTCAAGTATTGAATTTAGCTTCTTTATATTCATTATTTATCTCTAAATACTCATCTTTTTATTTACCAATATTGAAGATGTTTCCTAGTCTATTTTTTTTTTTTTTAGAGGTTTTTGCTATAGGGCGCGTGTGCTCGCCAGACAGAGAGAGACAGACAGAGAGACAAATCAAGAAATCCCCCCCCAGGGGGGATGGCCACGCCGCAATCCCCTCTCCTCCATTCTCCTCTCGGGATCTTAGGCACGCACGCACAAGCGCCCGGCTCAAGTTTAAGCCACCGGGTCCGGGACACGAACCGCAGTCGACTATGTGGGAGTCCAGTGACATAGCCATTATGCTAACTGCTGGTCCCAAGATGTTTCTTAGTCTTAAAAATTCATTTCATAAATTGTCTGACAGCCATTCTAGTGATAAATTTTAAGAGTCTGATGTAAGTATATAACACGACAACTCAGGTTTATTTGAGCATTCTCACTTTTGTTCTATTGATCTCTCCCTGTTTTTGTGCCAATACCACGCTATTTTAATTATCACAGCTTTGTGATATGTTTTGAGGTCAGGAGGTGAGATGCCTCCTGTTTTATTCCTCTTGCACAGTATTGCTTTGGCAGTACAGGGCATTATAGAATTCTAGGCAAACTTTATTATTGTTTTTCTTCTATTTCTGTGAGGAATATCTCGGGTCATTTGCTTGGGATTGCTTCAAATTTGTATATAATCTGGATAGGACTGACATCTTGATTATATTAATTCTTCCAATCTACGAACATGAGATGTTTCTCCACTTTTTTGTATCATGTTTAATTTTTTTTTTTTCCTGGTGTTCATAGTTTTCCTTGTAGAGGTCTTCGACATCTTTAGTAAGATATATTCCTAGATATCTTACTGGGTTTATGGCTATTGTAAATGTGATTGCTTTATTCAGTTCTCTCTCAGTTTATTCATTGTTGGAGTATAAAAATGCTGTAGATTTTTGTATGTTGATTTTGTATCCTGCCTCTTTACCATATTTATTTATTTCTTCCAGTTTTTTTGTGGATTCTTTTAGATTTTCTGTACATAGAATAATACCATCTGTAAAAAGAATTTCACTTCTTTTCCTGTTTGGATGCCTTCAATTTGACTCTGTTGTCTAATGCATTGGCTACAACTTCCAGTACTACGTTAAAAAGGAGTGGAGAAATTGGGCAGCATTGTCTTGTTTCTCTTTTTAGTGGAAAGGCTTTCAGCGTTTCCCCCATTCAGTATGATGTTAGCTATGATTTTGTAATAGATAGCTTTTATTGTGTTAAGGAATGTTCCTTCTATGCCAGTTTTGCTGAGTCTTAATCATGAAGGGATGTTGTATTTTATTAAATAGTTTTTCTGCATTGATTGATATGATCATATGATTTTTATCTTTCCTTTTGTTAATGTGATGTATTACATTTATTGTTTTGAGTGCATTGAACCATCCTTACATCCCTGCAGTAAAGCCTACTCGATAATGGAGTATAATCTTTTTAATGTATTGTTGAATATGATTTGCTAGTATTTTGTTGAGAACTTTTTTATCTGTATTCATCAGGGATATTGGCCTGAAATTTTCTTTTTTTGTTATGTCTTTGTCTGGTTTTGGAATTAGGATGATGGAGGCGTCGTAGAATGATTTTGGGAATGTTCCTTCCTTTTGGAGCTTTAGAAACAGTTTGAAGAAAATTGGGGTTAGTTCTTCTTTAAATGTTTTGTAGAATTTAGAAGTAAAGCCATTGGGACCTGGATTCTTTGTTGGGAGACTATTTATTACTGATTCTATCTCATTGCTTGTTATGGGTCTTTTCAGACTTTCTCTTTCTTCTTAGTTCAATCTTGGTTAAGTTATATGTGTCCAGAAATTTGTCCATCTCATTCAGGTTTTCTTGTCTGTTGATGTATAAATGCTCATGGTATTCTCTGATAATATTTTGTATTTCTGTTATATCCGTTGTGAGAATGCCTGTTTCTTTGCTGATTTGATTTATCTGGTTCCTTTCTCTGTTCTTCTTGATTAGTCTAGCTAACGGTGTGCCTATTTTATTTATCTTCTCAAAGAACCAGTTTTTGGTTTCGTTTATTTTCTGTATAGTTCCTTTATTCTGTTTCATTTATTCCTGCTCAAATCTTTGTTATTTCTTTTCTCCTGCAATTTTTTGAGTGATTTTGTTGTTGTTTTTCCAGTTCCTTGAGTTGTGTTATTAGATTTTTTATTTGCCACCTTTCTGCTTTTTTCTTATGGGCACTACTTGTTATGAAGTTCCCTCTTATAACTGCTTTTGCTATGTCCCATAGGTTATAAACACTTTTTTGTTTGTTATTATTGGTTTCTGTGACCCTTTTGATTTCTGCCTTATTTTCTTCTCTAGTTGTAAAGTCATTCAAGAGTAGATTGTTTAGTTATCATGTGTTTATATATTTTCAGTTGCTCTTTCTGTAGTTGATTTCAAGTTTGATTCCATCATGGTCAGAAAAGATGCTGGATATAGTTTTCTATATATTTGAATTTGAAAAGGCTTATTTTGTGCCCTATCACGTGGTCATTCTGCAAAAATGTTCCATGTGGGGGTGAGAAAAATGAATATTTTGTGGTTGTTGGATGAAATACTTTTTAGATGTCTGTCAAGTCCATTTCGTGTGTGGTATCACTTAGATCTTGTATCTCTTTGTTTACTTTTTTGTCTAGATGATCTGTACAGAGGAGTGGGATGTTGAGTTCTCCAACAATTACTGTGTTGCAGTCTTATCTCTCCCTTGAAATCTAACAGTCTCTCTTTGATATATTTAGGTGCTCCAGTGTTGACTGCATAGATATTTACAACTGTTTATCTTGTTGGTGAACAAGTCCTTCTTGTACAATATAATGTCCTTTGTCTCTTCTTACATATTTATGTCTATTTTGTCATATCAGTATTGCAACTCCAGCCTTTTCTTAGTTTCCATGTGCATGGAATATGTTTTTCCAGCCCTTCACTTTCTTTTTTTTTTTTTTTTTTTTTTTTGGTGC